CAACAGCCAACACAATATCAATATGGCACTTTTCCTTGACAAGCCTCTCAAGTGCTCATTGCTCTAAGACTTTATTTTCTCTCCTGGGCCTTCCCCAGTTGCTCTTTCCTGACTGCTGCAACCTCTCTCATGATTCCTTCCTGCTCTCTCCCCCCACTGCAGAACAGCTGAACAGGAATTGGGTGTATTTGCCTACTGTATATTTGAAAAACACCTTTCAGTTCTGCCCTTTATTATCATAGCTCTAATCTATTTACATTTGAGCAAGCTGAACACAGCTCTTCTGTAGCATTTGGCTTTTGGCCAGAAAAATCTGCAATGAAGCTTTTTTCCTCCTTACTTGCTTACTGTTTTTATTGCTGCCTGTACTGTAACTAGAGCAGCAGGGCCTATCAGAGCAAGGCATTACTGAGACTTACTTCTGTAGCCCAGTTTAATCCAGTACACTTGGTGTGCTCAGCAGCTACAATTGCTGCAGCTGATTGAATGCTTCGTGAAGAGGCCACAGGTGTACTCCCTGTTTATCCACTGAGATCTCCTGCCTTGTTTAGCAAAACATCATGTAAGTACTTACCTTCTCATTGCCCTCTCTGGTGCTTATTTTCCAAAGCACCTTCTCAAGTGTCTACTACTAGTTCACATCACTTACTTGCCACTGAGTGTCCTCAGCAGCCTTTTGAGGCTAGAACTGCAGTGTAACATGAGTGTCCTCAGCAGCCTTTTGAGGCTAAAACTGCAGTGTAACATATAATATTATTCAGCTTGAGCACAGGAAAGCACATTCTCTTTCTTACTCTTGACTATGCCATTTCACTGAGGGAATGTGCTTTTTGGTGACTACAGAACAGTGCACTTCAGTGTACTGTGAAAATACACAGTACACTTCTTACTGCATTTTTTATTTTCCAAGTGCAGTTCATGTAATTTCAAAGAGCTTTATTCCTCTGGAATACTTATGGGTGAGGATATTTATGTAGGTAAAATTCAGTAATAGTGCACACAGCTGAGAGGGAAGTAAAGGCCTCACTTTCCACCAGCACCCCCTGCCCCAGTGACAGGTTCCTTTACAGGGTGAGTATTGTCCAGTGAAGCTGGTACAAGATCCACTAATTTCAGCTGCAGTATGTCTCAGTGACAAGACTAGGCTGTGGATCAGAGCCCTAGGCTGTGGATCAGATCCAACATGGATATTTTTTAAACCTGCTAAAAATGGAAATGTTTTGTACTTGAATTTTAAAATTACTCTGCCAATCAACATGTTTGGTTTTGTTTCAGGTTCACGGTCTCAATGGAGGTAGTACCAGCCTGGGCCCCAGCAGTGGGTTTCACAGTCCTGCCCCATGCTGGAGGAATTTTAGGAAGCAATATAATCAAAAAGCAAATCCCACTGTGGTTTGAAACTTTACAGAAGCCATCCTGGTGTCCACCTAACTGGGTCTTTGCTCCTGTTTGGGGAACTCTCTATACATCTATGGGGTATGTTTTTCCCATTGTATTAAGGCTGTATCTAATCTCAAAGTTGTTAGTTGTATAATGCTCTAGGATTATATTTCTGTGGCTGTATGTTTGTAAGAAACTGTCAAGCTGCCTGTTTAACAGGTAAAAACATGTTTTGGGAGTTGTGTGTGGGTTTGATAGGACATTTTGTATGCACACATATCCACATGAAAAGCAGGAGCTTGAAAAGCTGCCATGAATTTGCTTGTCTCATTCATTCTGAGGGCAGGACCTTGCCAAGTTGGCTACAAAGGAGCAAGTAGCACTGGAATTTCTTCTAGGTATGTCCTTCAGAAGTTTTAGGAAAACTAGAAAAAAAAGGTGGGGGGAGAGACAAGGGGGTGAAATAGGATAGAACTGTTCTAACAGAGCTCAATTAAAAGAAACCAAAATCAAATCATACATGTCTTTTTGCATAAAACTGCCAGGCTGTTAAACTGTAAATGCTTGAAACCATGTCCTGTTTCCTCATTTAACTAGCTTAACATACTTAACAGCACAGCAATTGCTGTCAATGAAGAAGGAATCACAAGACCAAATACCCTTCCCACGGGAACCATGAAAGTTTAATAATGC